GTTTTTTGTTGTTGCAATAATACATCATATCGACAGCATAAGATTCAATGATCCGAATATTTTGACAAAAGGATCATCCTTTATTTAAAGGAAAGTAACGTCAGAAAAATGTTTTTTAATATTTTTGACCCTATTTCTCACAGTTGCCATTTTTTTGTAAATGCAATTGTTCTCTAAATAAACTGCCACACAGCAGGGAAGATTCGGTTAATTTTCTAATCGAGGGAGAGAGAAAAAGAGAAATGGATGTCATTATTTTCACTGCCCATTCAACGACAAACGGGTCACAAACCACCACAAACCACCTTTTCTCCAACATTGTTTTGAAATCATTACATAGATTGGCCTCGTGTTGTTGCATTCCCGTCGGTGCAGTGCCGATAGTGTTTCCTTCCAACGCGTTGTGACCCGATCGCGGATAATTTGCATGCAAGCTCAGGAATTGAGCCTGAAATGGAGCTGCCGATTGATTGAATTGACCCTGTTTGGTTTGTGTACGCTGCTAAAGGGAAGTGAGAGCACAGGCAGAAGAGCAAGCTACGGACTAACACCCAATTCTATTGGGTGAATTAATTCTGTTTTCATTGTCAAGTTTAGTTAAAGGCGTCCTGTACTCCTGTATCGAAGTGGAAACAAGATAGCTCGTATTTGTGTTCACTCAATAATCTCTTAGCAGCCAAACTACAGTCGAAAATATACATGTAATTAACTTTTTGCAGTGGCGCTTGTGCGCCTTATGTGCCGCTTGTGCGCCACACCTTTTCTTATTACCGTTCACAGATTTTGGAGTATGGAGAAGGTATTAAGGATATGATTTAACGTTCGTGAATGACACACGAAGTGCCATAAACGCTCACTATATTACTGTACCACATGGAGTGATAATGTTCCAGGCTTCTTTCTTTAAAGCTTTATTCACATCCTATTGTCAAGTATAAGGACTTTGCTGTTTCTAATTTGCCCAAATAGGTACAGTTCAAATAATAGCAAAAACCTTATCAATAGGATTCTACCTGTCAATAAGATCCGATTATCTCTAGATATGGAGCCTGACACACTCTCATCCTATATCGCAGTCACGCCCGATTCACAGTACCCTATATGGGTTGTGTGCAACCACGATAATAAGTCTAGTGCATGTTGAATTCCAGGACGTTGCACTTTTCCTACTTTTCTATAAATGAGATCTAGCGTTGACATACACGGTATTCTCTCAAGGTATCTCTCCCTATCCAGCATTGACGAAGAGAGACTAGCTCTAAGCTCCTACTAGTCTCCCGACGTGACCGGTAATATAGTGCGTCAAAGACTGTGAGTGCGTGTTTGTGTAAGGGGAGGAGACCGGAAGAGAAAGGAAAAAATGGTACGCGGTCTTTGACCCGTTTGTTAGGGAACTGCTCCTGCATTAGCCTGGCATTGAGCGGCGAAACCACAAAAGTTACTGATCTGAACAGCCATCCGCTAGTATACTTCCCGAGACATTATTTGAATTCGACCTAGCTCCTCGTGTCCATCACATTCAAACATAAACGGTACGGAGAAGCAGGCTTTAAACCCAAGACTTGGAAACGAGACTTTCGGGTTTAACCCCGTCCGTCCAGTATGGATTTTTGTAACTGACTATACACCTAGGAGGAAAATTCTAGCGGGCAGCTGCTCTTATTGGTAATTCTGCGTGAGGTGCGGTTTGTGGCCTGTTTCTTAGGGTACTGCTCCGGCATTCACCTTGTGCTGATCAAAGAATCCACGGAAAACAATTAAACAGAGCAGACAGAGTCTGGAAGTCTCCAGACATCGGCTGAATCCAGCCTAGCTATGTAGCTAGAAACGAAAATTCTGCCCCTAGAATATCCGGGTCGCAGGCACTGCAAACTGCCAGTTGAAGCCCTGAGCCATTTAAGCCGGATCCTGAGCAGTCGACGAGGCTGGAGTCGCTGAGGAGAATCCTTGCGGCTCGCTGCTCTGATCGGTAGTTTTCCGTGGATGCCATGGATCCGCTCAGCGTTAGGTGAATACCGGAGAAGTACTCTAACAAACGGGCAACCGACCGCGCGCGCGATATTTCTTTCCCCTTCATTGTCCAATTTTCACCCCTTCTTACACACACTTACACTAACACGCACTACACTACCATACATGCCGGAGGCCGGACGGGAGCTTAGAGGTTGTCCCGACTGACGCGGTGCCCTGCTTGTGGGATACACCTGCATGGGAAAACACCGCTAACCGAAGGTATGTCTCCGCCGAACATCGCCATGCAGTAGGGAAAAAACTGCTGCCAACTCCCAAGGAAAAATCATGCACCACACTAAGAACCTTGGCAGTTGACGCTCCTGAAATCAATCAATAAATCAATCAACTTTCCCCTCGCCCAACAAACTCCACCTTTGAGCTAAAATGCATCCTCTCTCTCAATTCCGCTCACCCCTCCCTAACCGCCCCTCGTCCTCGCTGTACTTCTCCTCCGTGTCCCCGCTACGGCTCAGCCCTCAGTCCTGCCCCGCGCCCGGAAACACCAATTCCCCATTGAGGCTAATCGTAAATTGAGACGCAGGTCTGAGGCGTGACTCAGGGTGACTCATGGTGAGTTTCTGTTAACAACGTCTCATTGCTGCG